AGAAGACAAGCGTGAGGATTTAAAAAACTAAATAAAATGAGGATAATGACTCATAGAGTTGTTATTTTCTCCCTATCATAACCCAAAACACTGAGTTGGTAGACTGATATTTTAATTTAATTTTTATTTCCTAATAGTATATGGAAGGCTGATGGTTGAGAAGTTTCCATTCTCAGGATTCACTGGGTGGGAGAGGATGATTATAAAACAGTCAACATAGCCCTGGCCAGTTTGGCTCAGCGGTTAGAGCATCAGCCTGTGGACCAGAGAGTCCCGGGTTCGGTTCCCACTACAGGAATGTACCTCAGTTGCAGTTTGTCTCCAGCCCCGGTTGGGGTCGTGTGGATGGCAACCACTCGATGTATCTCTCTCACATCAATGTTTCTCTATCTCTCTTCCCCCATCCTTCTCGCTCTATCTGAAGATAAATGCAAAAATGTGCTCAGGTGTGGATTAAATAAATTAATAAATAAATAAAACAGTCAACATAGAAATAGAATAAATAAAGAGAAACAAAAAGGAAAGAAGTAAAAATGAGGTTTCTTCTAGAAGCACAGTAATAGGTTTCAAGCATTTCCTAAGATAGAAACTTAAATAGCCCTGGCCAGTTTGGCTCAGCAGTTGAGCGTCGGCCTGCAGGCCAGAGTCCAGGGTTTGGTTCCTACTAGAGGCACGTACCACAGAAAAAAAAAACAAAAAAAAAAAGCGAAACTTAAATAAAACTGATTGGGGCAGGTTTAGTAACAAGAAATTATGAGAAGGAAAAAATTGTTTTATGTCTTCCCAGCAAGACACATTTTCTACCTAATGTATTCCCTTTGTGGAATATTAGCTAAAAGAAGTTAGAGATAAACTAAGGATATTCTGTCATAGGTGGAAGGGCAAGACCTTCAATCATTTTATAGCATCCCCACCCTTAAGAAGTATTTGAACAACCATAAAGTATAAGCATTTCTTAAGGATAGCCAAGGATGATGTTTTGTATTTCAGGAGCTACCATTTAAAAAACAAACAAAAACCATAAAAATAACAGCTCAATTCTTTAATAATTTGGGAATTCCCCCCCCCCAATGTGTCAAAAATAATGAAAACCTGGTTCAATTTGTCTTTCCCCTAATTTGACAAGTGTCCCCATCTTACTTCTCTTCTCCTCATGCATCTCACCATTCAATATCTAAGAGTTCCCTATATCCTACAAATTTAGCACCTTGATGCTCTAGTATTCACTCTGATGGCAACAGTACTAAATGTGAATATAAGAACTTCAAAATTCCCAGGGATCACTCTGCTAACCAATTTGCCTAAACTGGTTGTTTAAACTAACCAGTTTAAACAAATGAAGGCAATAGTGATTACACAACTATATACATTTGTCATGTATACATCACAAAGTACACACTTAAAATTGGTAAACTTTATTGTAGGTAAATTATACCTTGAAAAAGCTGACTTTAAAAAAAGAATGTATACATTCATTCAGCTAATATTTACTAAGCATCTATTATGTGCATTAAAGTTTATACCAAATCTTTCAGCTAGACTATGTAGGTCCTACCTGTATGTAATGCTTTACTCATAAGCTGACACTGTCCCAAAAAGCCATGTTACATGAAAAACGGTTCAATTTTTGATCATGAATGTCACCTCAATGATGATCTCTACAGTGGAAGAACAGTTAGCTAACATCTTTCATTACATAAATGCAATCTATGATCACCCAGGTAATCTAAAAGAAAACAATTTATGTCTGGCCATGTGGCTCAGTGGATTGAGCATCATCCCCATGGACTGAGAGGTCCCAGTTTGATTCCCAATCAGGGCATATGCCTGGGTTGGGCTGGATCCCCAGAAGGGGGCGTGCAGGAGGCAGCTGATCAATGTTTCTCACATCAATGTTTCTATCTGTCTCTCCTTTCCTCTCTTTAAAACAAAACAAAACAAAAAATCAATAAAAACATTTTTTAATGTTAGAAAGAAAGTTTATTAAGCACCTACTGCATATAGAATACACCACTGGCCCTGGCCAGTTTGGCTCAGCAGTAGAGTATCAGCCTATGGACCAATGAGTGGCGGGTTCAATCCCAGCCAAGGGTACATACCTTGGTTGGGATTTGTCCCTGGCCCTGGTGGGGGTTATGGGGGAGGTAACTAGTCAATGTGTCCCTCTCATGTAGATGTTTCTCTCTCTCTCTTCCCCTTGCTGTCCCTCTCTCTCCCTCCCACTCTAACTGAAGATAAATAGAAAAATATCCTTGGGCCCTGGCCAGTTTGGTTCAGCGGTTAGAGCGTCGGCCTGCGGTCCTGAGAGACCCGGGTTCGGTTCCCGCTAAGGGCATGTACCTCGGTTGCAGTTTGTCCCCGGCCCTGGTCGGTTGTGCGGGTGGCAACCACTCGATGTGTCCCTTTCACATCGATGTTTCTCTCTCTCTCTCTCTCTGTTCCTCTCTCTCCCTCCCACTCTATCTGAACAAAAAATGGAAAAATGTCCTCGGGTGAGGATAAAAAAAAAAAAGAAAAATATCCTTGGGTGAGGATTAAAAAAAAAAAAAGAACATACCACTACCACAGCCTTGTATGTTTGTCTTTCTATAAAACAAAAAAACTAGACTATCTCAAAAGCATACCGACAACATTGCTGGAAGAAAAGAAGGCAACATTATTGGGAAATAGACTTAATTGACTTAAGTCTATTACTGGGTCTAGGGTCTAAAATCCTCCTGGTTCCCAATGCAGTATGCCTAGTGGAAATAACATGGACCTTAGAAACAGACTTAGGTTTGAATTCCAGCTCCACTTCTTACTAATTTTATATATAAACTTGGGAAAAGTCCCTTCACCTTCTGACCCTCACAGTTTGCTCATCTGTGAAACAGAGATGCCAACTACTTGTTGTGAAGACTATGTGAGCTATATATCACCTAGCACAATTACTGGGCACAGATTAGACAATTCAACAATATTAGTTCCCTTTCTTGGTCTTAAATTATTAAGAGTAAGAAAATACCTATTAATAATCAAGGTTAAGCCACAATCCCCACTAGTAATCACAGGACGATGAACAAGTATTTGTTGCATTCTTTATATTCTAATCAACTCCCTTCCCATCCCATTATTTCCAGTTTTTCAAACTTTTAGTTACTATGTTTAGAAAAGTGATTTAATTTTAGAAACCTGGAAAATTCTTCGGAGTAAATTGAGCAAAACCTTAATCTGCCCCAAGGGGAATTCTGAGCAAAATAATTATTTCTAACAAGAGAATTTTCTATGGGGGTTATTCAATTTAACCACACGAATGCCACCATCCCGCACACAATGTGACAGAAAGCAATCTGGAACATACTGTACAGATTCTCAGAAGGGAAATGTCCCCCGAAAATCCATACCCCTCTCTCCCGCCCTAATGTGAGGTAGTGAAATCTTACTAGGTGACCTGAATTCCCCCGTTCTGACACTAGTCCAGCTCCTGAAGCCAGAACTGCGGCAGTTCGTAAAAAGCCCTGAACAAACCCCACCTCTCAAAATACCCTCAAAAGGCAGGGGAATCCAGAGTCTTTTTTCCACACGTGACAGACAGATAAAGCACCAGGAGCTCAAAAGCATAATTCTCTTCCCAAGGTCATTCGTGTCAGGGAAGGTGCGATGGAAAATCTGCAAGCAGTCTGTGTCTTCGTGGAGAGCACACTGCAGCGTTTTGGGGGTACCTATTCTCCTCCCCTCTCCCACCCTCAAGTGTGAGCACTAGTCTAGGCATTTCCGAAACAAGCCACAACAAGCTCTGCAGTGTTAGGAAAGGGGCTGACGATGAAGAAACAGATGCTCCAGAGCAAGATGGTCTTTCTTGGCTCCCAGAGCCTTCCTCCAAGGTTATTAACAGAAACCGCAGGCACCTCACAGAGCGCTAAACCGGGCTCCGAGCCCCCCCGCCCCGCCGCCCCGGGCCGCCGGGTTCCCCGCAGGCAGCCTCCGCAGCCCGAGGCTCCCAGCCCCAGAAACCGCACTTCATTCCTGCGCTTCGGGAAGCTATGGCTCCTGCCGGGCCGGGCAGGGGCGGGGGTGCGCCAGGGAGACCGGCCGCGTGCGCTGCGGAAAGTTCACCGCGGCGGCGGCGGCTGCGGCTGCGGCTGCGGCGGCGGCTCTGCGGCGGCGGGCGGGGGGCGGCCCCGGCCCGGCTCGCCCGCGTTCCCCTGCAGATTCCACCATTAATTAGTCCTCAGGACTGTCTACTGGCAACTTAAACAAAGCGAATGCCTTAAATTCCTTCCTGGCCCGGCGGTCTGGCTGTGAGACCAGCGTTCGCCGGGACGCGGGCGGGCGAGGCGGGCCGACAGCTGCGGCGGGACCCCTCCCCGCCCGGCCCGCGCCCCCGCAGCCGGGTCCCGCAGCCGGCCTCGCACGCCGGCCCGAGCGCTCCCAAACCTCCCTCCTGCTCCTGCTCCTGCTCCTGCTCCTCCTCCTCCTCCGGAGCTCCCGGGCTCTTCCTGTAAGATCACTTCCTTCCTCCCCGGGTGCCCGCGGGCCCCGCGCAGCCCCCTCCCCGGCAGCCCCGGCCCCCCGCTCCGGCGCGCCGCTCCCCGCCCCCACCCGGCCCCGCGCGCTCTCCCCCGACTCCCAAACTCGACCCTAAAACTCTTCCTCCGCCCCCCCAGACATCCCCTCAGCTCCCTGACTCAACATTTCTCCTCAGATTCTCGTTCCCACCAAGAAGTCTCTTAGAAGCTTCCCTCCCCCTTCAAAAACTCCAAAAACATTCTCAAGGTCTCGCCCCCAAAGATCTCCCCTCCCGAGCTCTAACTCCAAAATCCCACTCACTCTCCCCCCCCCATCAAGTCCACACACCCCCAGTCCTCCCCCGGCTGCGCCCGCCGGTTCTGCCCCGCCGCCCCCGGGTGTCCCGACCCTTCCGCGGGGCAGGCCACCCACTCTGGACGCCCTCCTCTCCCCTCGCCCGCCCGCCCGGCCTCCCGCTCCGCGCTCTCGCCGCCCCACCGCGGACCCCTCACCTCGGCGGCTCCGGCCCACGCTCCCGCCGCCCAGGGATCCGGCACCCTGCTCCCGGCGCCCGGCGCCTCCTCGGGCTCCCCGGGACTGACAATGAGGGGCTGGCCCACAGGGTGACGTCAGCGTCCTGGAAGGCGGGGTCTGCGGCGGGGGGTGGGGCTGGTCTGTACGCCCCGCCCCCACGGTCGATTTTCCCCCTTCCCAAGGCTTGGATTCCGCCGAGTTGCGGGCGCGGTGGGAAATCAAAATGGGAGACAAGAGGGGCACTCTCTGGGGGTTGTGAGGATTAAGTGAGATAATCCATGAAAAGGTGCTTAGCCCGGGGCCTGGTATGGAGTAATCACTCAGCAAATACTATTTCTGTTACTCAGCAAATGTGGGAAAGGAACTCAGTTTAGACTCAGAAGGCTTGAGTTCCAGTCCTCAGCTCTATTAATTCATTGTGTGATCCTAAACAAGTCCTTTCCCAACCCTCACTTTCAACTTCTTTAAAATGGGAAGGGGCGATAACCAGATGATCGCAAAAGTCCCTCCAATAATTCTATAATAATTTCCCGTGGACCTACTATGTGCAAGGTACCTAGAGCCCAGAGAAGTGGGGAGGAAAGCTTTTGAAGGGACCCCAAGACCCACACCCAGGGTGGTGCAGAACAAACCAGAGACACTCTCCTGGTAGATGTCCTCCCACATACTGGCACAGAGCTGCATTCACAAGGGCATAGATGTGCTGAGGGCTGCTTCCTCTCTGACTGCAGCAGCATAGCTGGTCTCTTGAGACATCTCTTGTAAGTTCCTTATTGCCTATGGAATAAAGGCGAAAGCCCTGAACTACCTTTACACACACACACACACACACACACACTCTAAAGTTTATCCAAACTTCCTCTAGCACACCCACTGCTTTCCCACATCTGCCCCATTGCTCATGCTATGCTCTTCCCTCTCTGTCTCATCTCAACTTACAACTCCTAGTTTCCCCCAGTGAGAAGTCTGGCTCTCCCTGCTTGGAATGTCCATGGCATTGTGTTTAACTCTCATGTGGTCAAGAACACATTTTAAGTTATATCAAATTGACCTCCCTTTTGTTTCTTAGCATTTTCTCCCTTCCTTGAAGTCGGATCCCACACATGTTCCACAAACCATGTAGTTGTCATTCTTATTTTCCTTATTATTATCATCAATATTATTTCTAGCTTGTAACACCACATACCATCCTTCATGATAATCTGCACAATCATTACATAGTAGAAGACTTGGAACTCATGAGAGCAAGAGGATCACTGAAAGTGGCCCTGCAGAGGACTGCCACTGGAACAGGAACCAACACTCCAGTTCCTAGACCCCAGGGGGATTCTGCAGTCACATCTGACACCACAGGGTATCTCTGTCACTTGGCACCCCTCAAAAGTGGGAACAGCTTCCGAGTTCTCTCTGCACATTCTTTGCAACAGATCTGACCCATTTCTCCCTCATGTCTTTCTCCTCTCACTTTCCTTACAGAGTGATGGATTTATGTTACTGCCCTTGGCACTTAGCATCTCCGCAATCCTCTAGGAGGGCTGCAGCAAGGCCTGGGCGTTTCCAGAGTGCTGGCCTGTGGGAAGAGGGAAAGGGCTTTGGGATTCTGATTAATTTCCTGTGCTGTGGACAGGCAAATAGCTGTCCTGAAATGCCTGGGCTGGTCCTCAAGGGCCCCTAACAAATTGAGGCTTATTTTTAGAATAGGAAATTCAAAAATGCTACTTCCCATGAAAAGCAAGCATGGCCACAGGATTACTGCAGGCAAAAAAAAGCCCTTTACTGAGTCCTTCCTATGTGCTGACGCTGATTCCAAGCATTGCAAACCTTTGGAAGAGAGAACCCAGGACACACAAGGGAGGTTCTGAGGACAGAATTTTCTCCCGGAGACCGATGACACCATCAACCACGTATTCATTCATTTACACCAAAGCTTTGGCACAGGACAGACCAGGATCCAAATCTCAGCTCCACCACTTACCAGCTGTGTGACCTTGGACTTTCAAGCCTCTGCACCTAGGTTTCTCATTTTAAAAATGGGAATAATAATAGTACCCATCTCATACAGTGGCTGTGATGATTAAATGAAATAACATGTGAAAGAGTTTAGTTCAGAGTCTGGCACCCAATTCATGGCAGGATATGGTGGCTGCTATTACTATTTCAAGATGTCCTCCCAGTAAGGCTTTTCATGTGCTGGCCTCTGGGCTGTAGGGTTAACTAATAGTCCTGACTTCAAGAAGCTCGGTTGGTAAAAGGAATAAGGTAGATTTTTGTGAACAGGCAAGAAAAATGTATCTACTGGGTATTGTTAAATGACAAGAGTAAGTTGCATAATTGTAGGTGTAGTAGGATCTCATGGTTACATGCTTAGTATATGCATAAAAATATGGAGAATACAGAGAACTATTTACTTCTTGATTTGTACGCACGCGCGCGCGCGTATGTGTGTAGCAAAAACTTTAGAAAATACTCTTCAAGACAAATCAGCAACGGGCATCTGAATAATAGGAAGTTCCACAGGTTACATCTCATTCTTCATGGCATTCAGGAGAAAGCCCCTACCCAGAAATTCTCACCTTCTACCCCCTCCCCAGCCCTTAGCTGTACTTGAACTTTCAATGCTACAGCCAAAGGCAAGACTCCTAACAGAACTCCCAAGAGCTATGGCAAAGCCAGTAGGAGATACTAATAAGCAGGAAAAAAAATTTTTTTTTTTTTTTAATTTTTTTTTTTTTTTTTTTTTTTCTTTATCCTCACCCGAGGACATTTTTCCATTTTTTGTTCAGGTAGAGTGGGAGGGAGAGAGAGGAACAGAGAGAGAGAGAAACATCGATGTGAAAGGAACACATCGAGTGGCTGCCACCCGCACAACCGACCAGGGCCGGGGACAAACTGCAGCCGAGGTCCGCGCCCTTAGCGGGAACCGAACCCGGGTCTCTCAGGACCGCAGGCCGACGCTCTAACCGCTGAGCCAAACCGGCCAGGGCAAAAATTTTTGTTCCCGTCCTATGCCCTCCCCCATCTCCCAAAGACTAACAATATGTCAGCATCTTTTGCCTACTGTGCCTAAATTTGCACTTTTATTTTCCTCGTTATATCTTTCTGCAATTTAAATTTAAATTTTTTACCAGGAGGTTCTATTATTTAGTCATCAGGAAAAAGGTAGCAAACATATATATGTGTATATATATATACACACACACATATATAAATAGATAGATATAGATATACACGTATGCACACACACACACACACACACACTAACCAAGCTGGGGTTGGTTCACTTTTGTTCTTTTTTTTTTTAATTCCTCACCCGAGGATATATTTCCATTTATCATCAGATAGAGTGGGAAGGAGGGAGAGACAGACAGAGAGAAACATCAATGTGATAGAGCCACATTGACTGGTTGCTTCCTGCACGATCTGACTGGAATCGAACCCGAGATTCATTTTTCCACAGGCCAACGCTCTAACCGCTGAGCCAAACTGGCCAGAACTTGGTTCACTTTTGTTAGTTTGTAAACAATAAAGTATAACATTGTGGATGAGGCCAGTGCTAAGGCTCACAGGAATCATAGAGAGCAAGAGTGGAAAGGGATAAAATTGCCCTAAATTACTCCTACTATCCCCAGAAAGGCATGATTTTAAGTCCACTCACATCAGGCCACCCACAAGCACCTATATTTCATTAATTCACTCAACAAACACTTATGGATCCTTTACAATAAACCAAGCATCATACTGGATACTTTATAGTTACTATCCCATATAGGTTATGAGTGTTAATATTCCTGTCTTGCAGATTAGAAAAACAAGGCTCAAGGAGGTAAAGTAATGTGTCCAAAGTCTCACATCTAGTGGGATCTAAACCAAAACCTTCATATCCTGGCTGAGTAGCTCAGGGTTAGAGCGTCATTCCAATACAATCGAGGTTGTAGGTTTAGCCCTGGCCAGTTTGGCTCAGCGGTTGGAACGTCGGCCTGCAGACCAGAGAGTCCCAGGTTCGGTTCCCACTAGGGGCACATACCAAAAAAAAAAAAAAAAGGTTGTAGGTTTGATCCCCAGTCAGGGCACATACAAGAAAAACCAATGAATGTGTAAATAAGTGAAATAACAAATCGATGTCTCTCTCTCTCTCAGATCAATAAATTAAAATATTTATTTTTAAATAAAAATAGCCCTGGCTGGTGTGGCTCAGTTGGTTGAGCGTGCACGGAAAGGTTGCTGGTTCAATTCTTGGTCAGGGTACATGCCCAGGTTGTGGGTTCAGTCCCAGGTCAAAGTGCATACAGGAGGCAACAGATCAATATTTCTCTCACATCATTCTCTCTCTCTCTTTCTCTCTCGCTCGCTCGCTCTCCTGCTCCTTTCCTCTCTCTCTCTAAAATCAATAAACACATGCTTTTTAAATATTTTTTTTTTAGCTTTTTTCTTTATTGGTAAAGAAATAAAACATGTGTTTATTGATTTTAGAGAGGGAGAAAGAGATAGAAACATCGATGAGAAAGAACATTGATTGGCCGCCTCCAGCATGCCCTCTACTGGAGATTTGGCCCACAACCTGGGCATGTGCCCTGACTGGGAATCGAACCAGTGACCTCTTGGTGCATGGGTTGATGCTCAACCACTGAGCCACACCAGCCGGGCATGTTTCTTAAAATAAATAAACCAAGATCAGCACAATATCAAAGCCCAATTCCTGCAGGATATGGACTGAATTTTGAAGCCAGTGAGCCACACTCAGGCATCCATGATTGCCTGGGTGGCCTTGAACTCTTCTCAGCAGCAGTTTACCCATCTCTGCAGGATAAGGGAATACCTGGATATTTTGTGTGAGTTAAGCACTTTGTAAGTTGCAGCACATGATACAAAGGGAAGTCCCTAGGTCAGCTCTTCCAGGACTGAATCCCATTCATCTTTGAATCTCCTAGTGCTTTCTCCATTGCTGTGTATCCCCATTAAGTTTTATCCCCCATTAACACATTTAGGATAGTCTTCCTAGCATGAACTCATATTATTTTTCCCACTAGCCTGGGACCTCCTCAAGGATGGGAACGATACATATTCATTTTTAATCCTTCTGCTCCCAGTACATCTGCCATGCATCCCTCCATTCCTTCACTCTTATTTATTTCATAACAAATGGCTGAGAGCCTAACATGTGCCAGGCACTGCACAAACTGTGAGACAGCCAAGGTCTGGAG